AAGCTATGCGAACTTCTAGCCATTGATGATAGGCTAGTCTTCCTCAAGAAGACTATGATCTTATGACAATACTGTTAACAGATTGGCTTGGGCATAATTTTGCTTCGGGGGACGATTGTTTTCGATGATTTCGAATACAATACGAGTAGCTACGATTTCAGCTATTCTTGCCCCACTCTGGCGGTAGAAAAAACTGGGCACATGTTAACGAAATATCAAGCGAGACGCAGCGACACACCGAAATCGTTCGGCGGTGAAACCTAACGGTTTCACCGCCGAACGATTTCGAATGATTTCGATGTGAACCAGATTCTTATGGAAAGTAGTCAGTCGCTCGAAAATTACTTGCAGAATGACCCATAACTGCAATGGCCAACTATAGCAGTCACAAAAAAGCCGATAGAAGAATAAAAAAGGGCAATGTTACCGTTGAGCGGACACGGTCTGTCGTTAGAGTAAACCCCACGATTATTATTGTTTCATCTATTACCATATTGTAGGTCTGGCTGTTGTAATGACAACTCCACACGATGTGTCACACCCAGCAACTTTCTATGAGGTCCGTCTGCCCCCCCCGGAATCGATGGCCGAAAATCTGAAAGTAATTGATGCTCTAGACTCCTATTACAATATTATTCCTCGCTGTTGCTATTAGCAACATTTTCAGCTACAGTCATTTTACTCGATGTTACGGTTATTCGCTGTTGGGGTAGGTGCTGGTGGGACAAGCCACCTCCCACTTCGCATCATAATCGCGATAACTGCATTCAAATATTCTATGGGTCGTGGGCAAAATGCCTCTACCAAACAGGCTGTTTCATTCAGGCAACATTCTCTTAGTCACAGTAATAACTATGATGATGCCCTCCCTTGTTTAAGTAACGACTTCCTGTTAGCAATTAACAGTGTATAGATGATTAACGGTAGAAAAAATCCCGACTTTGTTATGTTCGAAATATATATATTCGACCATGTGCTGTGTCTCCTCACCATAAACGAACGTTACACCGGCACTTGGTAGCAGTGGAAATTGAGCAAAAGTTGTTACTTTATCAGACGGTATAAGATATCCTTGAACATCTGTCGATACACTGATGTATTTGCCCCGGGTATGGCCGCCGAAGCATAACGTCAGAACGATACCATCCACTCCATACTGACTGATGGGAAGTCTTATCGACGTTGTGCTTCCGTCATCCGCTCTGCCTCATAAAGATTAGCAGATGTTTTTTTTATACAACAGTGTCCGAGCTCGAACGCTTCGAGCGGTTTAGAATACAAGAAGTAGTCACTCGTTAATATATACTACAAGGGATCTCCAAGCAAAAGGACTAGATCTGCTTTTGTTGAAACAAGAGTGTCGTTGTATTGAAAAAGTAAATAACAGTATTGTATTTTTTAGTGAACACTTTTACCTAGTCCGACACATCTTGTTTTCATTGTTTCTATGGCAACGTGTATCGAAATGGTCTTTGACTGTATTGTACGGAGAGCTCGGGATTTTCCTGCCGTGTTTGCTGTCTGTATATGGACTTCTGGAGGGCAAACTTTCTCAAGATGTATCGAGCGACTATCAAGCGCATCATAAGGATCTAGAGACTGTACATTGCTCAAGATAACCAAAAAATGGCTTAATCGCCTTTTCGAGGGAACTCTTCATGCGAACGCTAGACGCGCGTACGTTTGTCCTGCATTGGTCTAAAATACTAAAGAATGCCATTAGCAATGCAGCATAAGCATCAGCAGCGTCGGCCTATCTGTGGGGTTTTCATAATTAAGTTATTAATCGTAGTCGTTTTTTTTCTTGATTTGTTGTAATTAGTAATCGTTTACGCTTCGTCTGTACGTGATGCCTGATTTTAATAGGTACATAAATTAGTTATCTTTAGTGTGCTGGTTCCTTCCTTGGCGTCTTCAAGTTGCACAGTGTGGTTGATTTTTTCAACGCTATTGATGCCCTGACAAGTGCCTAAAGTGCGCCTAGAAACAAAGCGGGACAGTAGGTTTACTTCATCTGGTCTACTGTAAATGTCTTCGAAGCAAGCTGGCCTTAAAGGCGTTCAATTTTTCATAGCTAGTAGATTGTCAGAGAACTGGCCCGCCTGTAATCTACAGCTAAACTTGTAGCAGCAAGTTTTCCATTAATGAACGCTATAATCGATTAAATTTTTTATCACATCGATACGTATTAACTTCCATTTGATAGAGCGCACGCTCCCTTTGCTATGATAATAGTGGTAGCAACCACTACTCGCTACCATCACTCACAAATGTGAAGGACGCTACGACGATCCGAACAATACAAACCTCTGTGGGATAGACAATATTAACATCTAAACCGTTAATATATTAACTACAGATGTGCTTGTCAGTGCCGGTCAAATAGTGTCGATTCTATGAGGGGGCATTATTTACAACAAAACAGAAACACTGAAGCCGCAGCAGGGAGCAGAGCATGATCTACATGTTCTGCTGCTCCCTACTGCGTTTACTCGTTTGCCTGTCTAGGCCGCCTCTTCTAGTGACGCGCTAATCACTGTACTTCGTACTGGGGCACTAACTAATTCGTTTGTCGTCCGTCCGCCCGCCTGGTTGTCCGCCACTATCCGTATAGACATCTCTTCTAACGAATGATGGATGACCGGGCAAGTGATGCTATTGTTTCCATGCTCTACAGGCGGACAGATCGTGCTGCCCTGACCAAGCCGAGAAGCCGTTGCAGGCTCTCGTGAACGAACCTGCTAGGGTCGGAGCACTTTTCTATTTGGTATGATATGATATGATGGTAATAACTGCGGCGCGGCAGACAGGCTGCGACAGCAGCGCCAACATGAACAACGATAGGGGCAGTCATCATGGTAGCTTGAACATTCGGCAGTTGTCGGCCGTGTAACTGGCGATGGCCGCCAGGTGATGATTGTCCGATCGTCACTAGTGACGAAGTCCGGCCGACACCGAGTATTCCATAGGAGTTCTTTATAACGGAAGATGCTGCTAGCGGCGGTAGCAACGACGCTTGCTTCGGTGTATCCATGCGACTATCGTAGGGTCGTGTTTGTGGCGGACTTGACGGAAGTGCCACTTACGTACTACTACGGTTATTAGTGTAAAATATCGCTTTTGCTGTCATTGTTGATTTTGATAATCGCGTAATACTGGCGTTACCGTTTATGTGGTCATGAATGTGGCCATATCGGCAGTGATAACGATGATGGTCGCTACGATACCGGCCATTAGGACACGATGAAGGTCTACTCCTTCTACATTGCCATTATTCTAAAGCGACCTCCCCCGTTATCTTGAATGGGAACGTCGATGGTCATAATGATGCTTTCTGCTGCACAGTGGTTTCAATTGAGAACGCATTCGATACATTGTATGTATAGTTACAGTGGGAGTTTTTGCCCGTCTGTAGACAAAAAAAAATCAGTTGCCCCCATTAATTGGGGATTCCGATGGCAAGGGAACACGTTTTTCCCGTGCAACCTTTTGACTATAGTAGCCGTCATATCTCTGCCCCTGTGCAATTGTCTTACTTGTGCGCGATTTCGGTCTTGAGTGAAGACAAAGTTGAAATCTTTTTTGTTTTCGAAAATGAGGCTGAGTAAATAGGTGTCGTACGAGAGCCGAAATGGTGTTCTAGTAAGATATTATTGATCTTATCCTATTTTCCCTCTTCCTCTTCGTTTCCAGTTGTCCTTGACTGGCCGTTCAGCTAACAACGAGAATGCTTTAGCGTTATGCTTATTATTATGCGACAAAAACAGTAGCAATTTTTCCCAAGTATGTAAGCAATCCGTTCCGAAGTGGGTTCGAAAAGTGTGTTATCTTCACCTTTTATTTTCATAGTTATTACGATGACCATCATCATCGTTTAGAAAGCTGTTCATCGACGAAGGTTTTTATGTAAGCCGATCGATTCTGATGAGTATTTGTATTTCAACGGAGCCTCCAAGATCGCTTCACACAGAATCGTTATTTAGCGTACTTTTGAAACACAGGATTGGAATTGTAGGACGCGATCAATATGATAATATTGTCGTTGATTTATTTGACGAAATTAAAGCGAGGCAATCATCATAGGTACGATTATTCTATCTGAGCGTTTTTTGCGTCGAAAAATTTATCGACCGTCGCGAATAATGTGGTAATTGTTTTCTCGTGCTGAGATAAACTATTTAAATTAATTGTTTCTAACGTTACGGCAAGCTTCTCTCTCATCTCCTTCTTCTTCTTCTTCTAGGTCCTGAATCAGCACCTACGTTTATGGGCGTATTAAAGGGGAAAAGACAAGCTAGGACATTTGAGGACCACTTTATTTTTAGACGATTGTGTGGGAAGAAATTTGAACAAAGCTTGTCCTTGACTGTAGGCAAATCTTTCACGAAGCCAATGATAATGTACACGCCCTATATCATACGAGTTAGAATTTTGGTTGTAACAACGCCCGCCATCATGATAGCTAGCATTTAGTATGAAGTATGAATACACATGCTGAAGTAACTGTCGTGTCTTAAAGGAACAACACTGTATCAATCGCATGTCGGATCGGAGAACGAAGTAATACTTGAAAACCAATTATAAGGACGTACTTCTGTGATAAGAAAACTGGAATATACAAAGTAACGTGGAGGCCACGGGTTCAGTGGCTGTTGCAAATATCTGTTTGCTTCATAATAAGCACAGCTTTATGACGTCGCCCATGTCGTAATTGGGCGGCGATTGTCAAAGCAACAGTTAATCGGTGAAGTTCTCGAATTGGTTTACGGGACGGATGTGTCAGGATATGTCCTACAATAGGCAACGTTAACCATGGGTACCATAAGCCCAGCAAGAACAGCGAACACCTTCGAATCGAGTTTGATCGCAATATCGCTGCGGACGGTTTATCATGTAATAGAATATGCGATATAGGAGCTGTAGGACCGTTCGTGCTTTCCGAAAAACCTGATCATTACATACGCGGATTAGTAACGTATGTTGGTTTCTTTCTCTTTCAGAATGCCACAGCCCGAACTGCGTCGATTAAGTTCGACGGGAACACAGGGGTAAGTTAAGATGGACCAATGATATACTTCGCTTACCATTAGAGCTTCAACTAGTATCGAAAGAAACAGACAACGCAAATATTGCGATAAAAAATGAGCTACTTTGCACTATTTTCTGACTTATGTCGTCAGGGCTTCATTTAACTTCAGTCCCATGTTCCTGCGTATTTGGACCGAGTTGAAATTGCTCAGTTGCGCCAGTGATCTCTTCTTAACCCTCGCTTCTTTCGTTACTTAAACGGATACTAATTGATCGAAGAGTAACCGTTCTAAAGGACTCAGGTAGTTCACATATTAACCAGTTGACCAAACGGGCTTCTGGTAAATACTCACTATCAAATTCAATGAGTCTTGTCGTAATAATCATTTTGATGAAAGCTTTGATTGAAGTCATTTTGAAGGACTGGAGTATATGAACTTAGTTTTTTGTCGAGTTTTCATCTGTTGATATCGCTTTAATATAAGCTGACTGTTATTTGCTACGCGGATCAATCATGCGGGAAACGCGTTCATTCAGATTATAATATAGACGGACGAACCGCGAAAATTCGTGTTTGTATGGGTCGTTTCCAAGACACGATCGCCGATCTCTGTAAAAGCTGCACGCCCGCCGGGCAGACCCGTTTGTTGTCGAGGCCAACGCTCCGGGAAGTTCGATTACTACACGGCTGTCGTCACGGTATCGGTCTCTAAGCTATGATGTCCATTAGGCGTCTATTCGATAGAGCCTGGAAAAGATCATAACAGGAATAGGTGCTTTTGTTCTATAACTAGTTGTTGTTAATAGGGCGCGCATATGGCGCCCGTACCGCGAGCTGCTTATATAGACACCGCCGACGTACGGGTTGGACAAGCATATAATAAAGTCAAACTGTTGTTTTTTGTTGTGGTAACGCAGCGAGTCAGATTTCGATTGAGCTCTTGTTGAGCTGAAGACATAGACTGATCCGATTCTCTCTGAAAATTTCAGTTGCGCTGTAATCGGCTGTGCAGGGTTTATCGGCCATCGGCTTGGTCAGAGGATGTTAATCTGAACATCAAAGACAGTGTAGCTTGTAGAGGGGCAGAACTTGTTCTGATTCGGAAAGCGGCCAGCACAATAACACAAGATATATACACCAGTATAAGTATCTTTCATTAAAAATAAATGATGGCGAAGTTAGCCAACAAAAAAAAACACATTTAGAATAAGGACAACGATTGAATGCCAGTCGGGTGTAGTGGTCGTCTGTCTAATAGACGTAGATGTATTTGGAGGGCACCAAAAAAACAGTTAAAAAAATCGAAATACAAAAGTACCTACATCAAGATTGGCTTTCTTTACTTTCTTGTTGAAGGCCTCGCTAACGATCACGGAGCCGGGTCAATGTTACTGGCAACTGTGGACATCTGGTAACAACGCTAATTCAGGGATGCATTTTGTACTTCGCTACAAACATACCATTGAGCACCATTGTTGTACAAATCAACAAACGAATTACCAAGCAGTAGATAAAATATGACCTATTATTTACTACTTTAATTCAGCGGCTGAACGCTGAATGCTTTTATAAAATAAATCAAACAGCAAAGCGTAAATAGGTAACAACAGGCTAACAGAGAAACATGAAATGCATGTATACAATGAGAAAACTTCACGCCATACATCTATCTTATATAGATCTCTGTTTCTTCAACAGGAGATCTATATAAGACAGATGTATGGCGTGAAATAATATCTTATATTGTTTCTTTAACAGGAGATTAATAGAACAATTTTTATAGTTTATTTTCAAAATCAGTAAGTTAAATAATCAATTAATTAAGTTACAGTTAAAGTTTACAGTAATTAAAAATGTTCGTAGATTTTCCTGATTAGGGGTATTACAATTTTTGAAAGTTGATGAAATATGACGATTTAAGAATGAATATCCTTTGAAGATACCGCGTAAGCAACCCGTAGTACCTAAACCAGTTCCGTCCTAAAAATACTGCTCTGCAACGGTAGCGTATGCCAATGACTGTGACGATGGCTAAGTATTTTTTCTTTGTTATAAAGATGATGGTATTATTTCTTCGGTGAACGAATAAATAGTTCTATAGAAGAAAAGGTACGGTTGGGTTCTATTACAGTTCTCTGCAGGGCTGGCTTCAAACTACTGATTTTCTAAACATCGTTATGTATACATACACCGCAGATGCTTCCAACGCGTTCCGTTCTTCTATAACGTCACTGAGCATTTGGCTACCCTTCTGCGGAGCGCAAATAAGTCCCTTGAAAGGCTGCATCGATTTCTATGGCCGGTAGCACAGAACGATGCGCGAGTTGGGAACGTTACGCTCTATGAGTCCATAAAATGTCATAGTAAGGGTATTAATGTGAGCAGCAGCAACAGATAGATATTCACCGTTACGAGTATAATTATCAACTTTGTTCTCAAAAATATATTGTAGTTAGATGAAACAGGTCATCTGGACAAACGGTGCTCCCGTTTCAAAGCAAACGTAGGTTCAGTAGTCTGTCACCTACATGTATTTGTATACGCCATTTTTTCAACTCTCTAATATAGAAACTTTTGCTAGTTGTCGTTGGTGTTCCATGGCGATTCCAGACATGAGTGTTTGGTTCAGCAGCAGTGAACGATAGCGACTTCAATAGTATGCACATGCATACGTGCATATCATGTACAGAGATAGCACAAAGCAGCAGAACAATACTAACTCTGGCCAGCTTCTGCTGTAGACTCTGTCATCTGCGGCGACTGTTGCACAATCGTTCGAAATTGTTCTCGGTTACTACTGGGTGTTTTCGGCCGCCCGTTTATTATTGGACAGAACTGCTGGCTTCTGTGATCGCTGTTACCGTATCCTGCTCCTTCTAAACTGTATCGTTCTGCAGCTAGGATGTGCACGTGTGCCTGAGTGTATTTTGCTTAAATGATATCCTTGGACTCGGTTCGTTGAGAACTTACTGTAGTTGCTGGCTTACTAGTTAGCCGTGACGTATGATTGAAATTGACTGAAGTTACCAATTAACTGCGCGCAAGGTTATAGGGACAGAACAATGATAATTTACTTAGAGCGTCGGGGCACCGCAACCGTCAGGGCTCTCCTCTTCGTCAATAAACGAGACGAACTTGGACAGAAGCTTGCTATGATCGATCAGACGCTTCAACGGAGTACGGACAGATCGTTGGACGAGCCGCTAAATAGCCAGCCAGTCAGCCAGCCAGCCAGCGAGCCAGCCAACTAAACTATACAAACTGAACGGGTGTGGTAAAAACCGTGGACAAAGATGAAAGCGGGAGATAATAAGCGACAAATGACGTACGAGATATCTCCAGCCTACAGCAGTAAGGCACCCCCTTCTGTCCAAGCTGGCCATTTCACTGTGAACGTCATCATTTCTAGTGACCGTAGCATAATTTGCTTCGCCAAAGCACGATTCTACGGTAGTATGAAGATTGCAGAATATCTCGTTCAAGCATCTTTCACAGAAATTGTACAGAAGTTAGGTGCATTGCAATTTATTCCATACGCTGGTGGATGACACGAACGTTGTCCTGTAATTGTTGGAGGCGCTGGGCCTATCATTATTCGAATGACTTGTATTAGTAGCTAAGGGATGACCTGAAAGGGGTGAGCAAGATAATCTCAACCGCATTGTTAGCAGTATCAACGTTACTATACAGCTCTAGGGATGTTAAATTTGGCGATAGCGGTTTAACGCTGGTACTTCTGAAAGGTGCGGTGTTATTGAGTACGGCCAATTTCGGGGATGTATCGGGGTGTGTAGCGCGTATCGTACGCCTAACGAAACATTGAATGGGTCCTCAAAGATGTATATATATATACAGCGCCTTATCATAGGGTCAATAAATTGTTGAATCATAGTAATTATATGGTATATGTAATCGACACCATTGTGTCGATGAAAATGACTATGATTCAACAATTTATTGACTCATAAGGGGCGCTGTTATTTTTGTTCCTATTAATATTCTCCAGCAGGCGTCCTTGTACGGCACAGCTGTCGTCGAAGGAGTTTCCGATACCGGCGTTGCGGTTCTTCCATTGCAAGTTTTTCGAATCCAAAAATTAATGACACAAAAGTATCGTGTCGTCCTAAGTGGGCGATGTAACGTCGTCGTTACATTTGGTTGCGTAATAGGTAGTGTTTGGCGTGTTTCGGGTCGTTGTGTCGACGTATTTATTCCCGTAGAAATGGCGTGTGATTTCCCGCAGCATTGTCTGGGTTACGGTGCTAAGTGCCACTCTGACGTGATTAGGCTATATTGTCGCAGGTTTCCAATTGCCGGAACTATAGGCACTAAATTTTTAGCTAGACAAACTAGTTTATTAAGGATCATCTAGTTCTTAACGTTATTGAGCTCTGCTGAGAAGGTTATGACAAGGCTTACTGAGCAACTCAAGTCTCATCGAAGAAGAGTTGTGCAGTTCTAAACAGCGAAAAGTATTTACTGACAACGGATATTTTTCCTGCAATATCCAGCGAAAATAATTAAATTCAGCATAGTCGAGAGTGGAACGGTTATGGTCTAGGTTAGACTCGAGTCAGGATACCAGCACAAACAATTCTCAGGAGTGTGTATTTTCTGTCCTCGCATTATAAGACAGGAGAGCATTACTGCATTGCCCTGCTATAGCGTATTTTGGTTTTGTTACCGATTGTCAACGAGTCGGTGGTAATGGATTCGTTCTCGGGACACCCTAACCTTAAATGCTCGTTAGATGTTACCCATTACCAGCGGCAGCAATAGCACAACGTCCTAAGAACTACTACGATTACGATTATTCATTAAATTTGGCTGTTTCGGTCTGTTCTTCTACGTCGTTTCCGTAGTTTTTCTTTAATTTTTATCATTCTCACTCTGCATCATTTTTGTCGATTTTTCAAACTTGGGCTTTGTCTGCCTGAGTTGCCTAATCGCCCGTCCACCGATCTGTCAGATTGGCGAGCTACGTACGCGTTTTCCCCTGATTCCTCTACTCGCTACTGTATAACCGTCTGCGTCAATTTTACGTTAGCAGTTGCTCTAACGACTGCACATCGGCGAACGGCGCAGTGACGACGCCCCGAACGGCCAAACAATGTCTTGAATAGGATAGCTTAGTTGATGGTATCTTTCGGGTTTTTTTTTCGCAATCATTACCAGCTTTTTCCGCTGGTTCGCGCAGAAGACGCTATAAATAGAAGCGGCCTGACAACAGTAACAGGAACGGCCCGAGGCCGTTTTCTTGTGCTAGTGCGCAGAATCGCATCTGTATCGTTATCACCGCTTAGTTTGAGCTCGTATAGCAATCAGCGGGATGGCGAAAGCCATCATTTATATTAACGACTGCGACTGACCCACAACCGCTTGGGACATGCACAGGAGGTTTACTCAGGCTCATTATTTTGTAACGGGTGTGTCTGCTGGCTGGAGGAATGTTAGACAAAGGATGAAAACTGGTAAGTAGATTGTTCAAGGAGCTGTATGCCATCGCTATGGGACTCCTTTCTTGCATTTTGTTTAATTTTCCAGCCGTGTAGAATGTGCTAGCATGTTCTTGGTACCGGGAGCCTTACTGTGCGGGCTTGTGCTTACTCAAGATATTTCAATGCACCGTTTATAAGACTAGTCTTGCTATCTGGTTTGAAAGCAGCGTCAATACAATACGAATACAAACTTATTTGCTGTCGAAAAACAAGATCTTGCTACTGTAATCTAATAGGGACCATAACGGCATTAACGACGAACGAAAAACCCGCAATACTACCTGATCACTTATATCACTGTAAAAGTCCGCGGAATTACCTCAGCATAGCTATGGAACATATTTGACGATGCACCACTTTTCCATATGGCTCTACTAGTTCTCTACTTTGATTCAATGTAGAGTTTATGCAGAGATGCATACGCCGTACATTGACGACTGAATCCTGTATTCAAACGTTACAAGTGATGATAGGCTCACCTGAAGACCTAACTGCAGATACGGATGCAGTCATTATCAACGGTTGATAAGATAATAACAGACACCTATAGAAATTCGCACAAGTCGTTACTCCACACAATTCCGTGGTCGCCTCATTTGTGGCGGCGGTGGCGGTGGCGTCGCAGGCCCGTTACAGCGCTGACGCTGGCGACGTCGATGGCCGTGTGGTCTACACTATTACGCTTGTATCTTGAATGATGCTGATGACAACAGCGGCGATAACTAACATAGTAGATGTAGAAGGGCCTTGACTTCTCCACGCCTTACGGCGCCTACTTTTGGTTACTGTAAATCTGGGTTAGCGGCGTTCCTTAGTTGGTGAGGGTTTGGGCCATGATGTGTGTGTATGTAGATTAGTGGTTGGCGTGTGCGCACTTACCGGAGGGTTTCCATTGCTACCATATATACCACAGTTATTAGTACCACTACTAGTGCAGCTGGCGTTGTAAAATCGTTTACTAGTCACTGAAGGACGCAGCGCCGAGGAGTGGATTGATGCTACCACTGCTGCTGTTGTCGATATCATTATGGTTTCTTTTTTAACCGATTGCCGACGGTAGAAGTGTCAGAACAGCAGCGTTTGTCCTAAAGGTCGTAATAATTGTAGAAGTAATAGCAGTGCCACTGCTGATGACGGTACCAGCGGCAACAGCGTCGTAATGCCAAGACGTGAATGTGACGCTTAGACCTAAGCCGGATGAACCGTTTTCCAATATCGGCTTTTATCGGGCAGCGGTTGCGGGGAGCTTCGTATGGATGCTATAGATCGGCAAACGACACTTGAACGGCTTCGGCTGTGTTCGCTGTCAGTCGGCTTAATAATCAATAGTTCAATGTCTACGACTGGATATTCGGGCGTAAAAGGTGTGGTCAGTATTGGCCACCTAAAGCCATAACTCTCTATTTTATTACGTAAGATTTTTCCTATGCTATTCCACACTGGACGAAACGTGAAAATCCATTTTTTCATTGGTATAAGACTTCCATCCAATAATAGATCGGGTGATTTTATTTTCGATGGTACCGAAGGCCAGTCGGTGGGGCAAAACTGCTGCGCTAGGTAAGCCTGAAATAGATCAATAACATTTTGAGCAAGATGGTTGGTAATAGCGATGCGATGAGCGACGGTTGTTGCCTCTAGCTCCTCGTTCGTCCCTGTTCGTTCCATCGAATACCTAATGCTTTGCGGCCTATGCCAGCTTTTTCCATAACGGTGACAATGCAAGCGATCCACAGAACAAAGTGTTTTGTTGCTGATGATCATGTGGACACATCATCGTTTCGCAGTGATCGCAGCCTTGTTTCGCGACCGTCCGTCCCCTACCGTCTGCTACGCGAAGACAACGACGAGACTGAACAGCTGGTATTGCCGTTCCGGCCGTCCAAGTGGTCATCAAGACGGATGTCGTGGCAAAGAAACTAAAAAAAATGTATGAAGCATTGCCGCGTGCAGCTTAGCATCGGCTGAGCCAAATGTCATGAGCCAGCTAAAGTGTGAACGCACGAGTCCAGCTTGTGCCAACCAAACGAGAAAATGGCCAAAAACTAACTATTCACCCCCGGAAGCTATGCAGAGTACATGTCAAGTTGTCCAATCAATTCAGAGAGCCTGCAATGCGCGACGGTGGGTAATATAGCGGCGATCGCGTCTGCAGCAGCAGAAGCAGGCGGGAGTCGTTTTCATCGTCAACTGTGACGTTATAGCATACTCCAGCATAACGTCAACGGCAATATCAGTCGTCGCAGAAAGTGTTGCTTTGATTCAAGGGGTAAACACTCTGGCTGGAAGAGCAAATGGAAAAGATTTCCTAGAGGCGCTAACTAATGGATGTTTGCAGGCAGAGACAGATGCAGAAACAGAGCCATTACGGTACCCGGTAACGCCCTGATGAACTTACGTTATCAAACTCGGTTTTCTGCTAATATTTTCGTGGATTTTAGGTTATTGCAGTGGCAAAAAAGGTTGCGTTGGGGTTAGGTGGGCCTTTAAAATGCCCAACTAGCTCCAGTGACCTTTTTAGCTATCGTCCCTAAAACAGAACGCTCGCGTATTGTGACCAGCGCAGTGTCTGAATTTCGACCTATGACGATGACGGGTATGACTTTCAACAAATTGCATCGTACCGTATGCAGCGTGCGCGTATCAAGTAAAACGGGAGCTGCCGAACCTAACGGAAAATGCTCGTTTCAATCCTCTGGAAGCATTGTACCTATAATTGTAGCATTTGGACTATTTCGAAAAATGGCACATGTCGACGATGATTGCATGCGGACTATCGTACGTGTAAATGACTTTCTATATTTGACGCGACGTTTTGTTACAGCTGTAGCCAGTCGGGTAAATAATATCACCATAATGTATTCAGTCACACCGAATGATCATGAGAGTGTTCCTTGTTATTGTAACGTTAAAGATATTCGCTGCAACTCAATGCGGATACATCTTTTACTACACACGTTAACTGGGTAGCCTGTTGAACAACAGATAAATTGTCGTTTGCCAGCCTTCGTATTTTCTATGTCGTCCGCACCTATTTCCAAATATAGGGATAGTGGCCTGTTACAGCAGAAGAACCTAGGTGAAACCGTTGTTAACTCGAATTTACATAAGTGGGGTGTTATCCAAAAACGTAGATGTTGGAATCATTGAACTCTAGTTCGACACGAGTCCGTCAGTCATTGACACGTTCGCTCGATTTCCCGTTTCGAATATCTAGTACATTTGAGCCAATCAGTCAACCACACGTTATAATTGTTTAAGCGATGTTATCAGGAAAGTAACATGTAGGCGCAATCGTACTAAGAGGACGGAACGCACGACAAGCCTGCCCTTCCGATTTGTTAGCGTGGGTCTATAGCATTCTTCTAAGCTTAAGGCGGATCAGTAAAAAAGCTAGAAACTAGTTAGCAGTGGCTTTCTGTGGAGTAGAATGGTCACAACTAAAGAGATAGATATTCAGTTCGGTGGGGAAAAGTAGCCTTGCGTTTTTGTCTATATTATCGCTCTACCGTACGATAAGATTAATCGAACTAACACTTCGTGTGCGTATGTTCAAGCTACTGTCGCTGTTGTTACCCCCAGCCAGACTACTCGGCTGCTATGGTGGCGTTTCATTGGGCATCTAGCTGCGTACCAAATCTATAGAATACATACAACATTTCGTTGATTTATTCGCTCGTGTATCTTCCCTGGGCCGATGCTCGCCCACAACTTCCAGTAACGACATTGGCAACAAACGACAAACCAGTCAATAACGTCAGCTGAACAGCAGCAGCAGCAGCAGTGGTGCGACTTTACCGCCTCTGTCAGCGTAGAACGACCGTCATAATGGAATTTCACATAGTGACCCACTAGCATTGCAATTTTTTTTGTCCGCTCCATCGGCCGGGCCTCGGTCGTCGATGTAAGCTGCCTGCTTTACCCATTGTATTTTGCTATCTGCAGAGATTAGCATCGCTTAATCGTCCTGTATTGAATTGGTATGCATTTAGATAGACGTATTAAGGAAGAGGTCAGGGTATCTTCGAGCGAGATAGTATGGGGAAGCAGGACAACCGCGTTGTATGTGTATTAGCTTACTGTTATGCGAGAATAACTGTTTATCAGACACATTGCTACATAAGCATGAGTCACTTAGTCACTTCCAAGCATAAACACATTGGAAAGATGTTTCAGAAGTATGTGAAATATGGCCACTTTACATGCTGTTATTAAATGTGACATAAAGGAAGGGCATATGCAGCGGAAACGAATGATCCGCTTTTGCGTTCCGTGCAATATTGTGCCAGATTAATATGCTATCCCAGCTATCTATCTTATGTATGTGTATATTCTGTTTAATTCTTCTACATAACGGATGACTACGATGAACGTTTCGAATCTTCCTGTGCCTCTTGCAGACGATACACATTCCCAACCTACGACAGGATTCCACGCGGAGCTTCGGCTTCAATGTCTCGTCGCTGGACAAAGATGCCTCTTTACAGCAGGGGTCGTTCGACTGCATCCGACAGACGCCTGGTGGGGCTGGTCCGGGTCGAGGGGAGCTGGACAAGCTCGGCGCCCTCGTTCACAAGATGCAGATCGCCGCCAACGAGGATTCGTATGAAAAAACTCGCGAGCGCATGGCTACCGCCGAACAAGTAGCCAAAAAGAACTGCGCCAAGGTCATCAAGATCACCGAAAAAAACGTGGGCCGCAAAGTCAAACTAAAAAGGCCGCCGGGTTCGGTGATGCCGCCAGCACCGCCAACGTCCCCTCCCTTTCGGACGGCGCCAGGCCGTAACAGCCTCGCGCCTTCAGCTCGTCAAACGGATAGGCTGGATTCAAGTTCGCTTTCAGGAGGCTCCGCTTCGCGTCTTGAACGACCCGAACAACGACTTGAGCGACTAGTCGAAGGCTCGATGCCAACTCTGCCCGTCACCAGTGGCCAAACGTCCCTTGAGCGCCAAACTCCAGCGCTTGTTAGTTCATCCAATAGTAACGTCTCCATGAGCAGCAAAAACCACAGCCCTGCTCAAGCCAACAAAGCTAACCGTTTCAGCAATGACATCATGAAGAGGTACGTAACCTATCGTCAATTAGTACTGTCGAAGCTTTCAGTGACCATGAATATTTGTCACTTGGCAGTACTATCAACTCGTTCGAAACGAAACGCTTGTAATTCGCCAATGGAAAATATTCCAATATGTGATAATGACCCGCGGCTAATTTGGTATTTCAGGTCTTACCGGGAACGTCTCATTCATATGTTAGCTGTCAGACCACTGAAGAAGCCCGAGATCTTAGCGCGGTTGATTAAGGAAGGCGTAAAGGAGTCGGAAAAGAAGGGTATGACGGCTTTGCTATCCCAGATAACCACACTCAAGGATTCTACATTTCATCTTATTCGCGCCGCCTGGCAGGAGGTACACGAAGACGACTGGCCATTTTATACCGCAGAAGAGAGGCTGTCAGTCAAAAAGTACGTAGACCTAGGACGCCGCTTCAAGTTTTTACCCGCTCCGTTGTAACATGAAATTACTTGCTGAATTTTACGCTGCATGACATAGTTTGGCTTGAACTATTTCACAAAACTTTGCACACTTTAGACTTGCCCGCGTGTGGTCTTCCTTTTTCACATATAACAATGTGTCTTTATAGCGAGCATCAATAACGCTGATGTGCAGGAAACGTTATAGTTTGAAAGCTTTTTCCGGCGGCTTGTAGTAGTTCGATACGAACGCGGTCCTTTTACCACAGTCGACTCTCCGATCACTGGTATGTTGTTATTGTTACATATTTTCCATAGAAACCGTGCAAGTATGGAACGCGAGGATAGCCTCCCACGGCACTCGTCGACACTTCGTGTTTCTCCACTTTTGTCGGGACCGATGACTCCTTCTAATCCTTCGTCGGTTGTTAGCTCCGACTCCGGAGTGCATTCAAATCATTCTCCATCAAGTCACTCGGAAGAAGCTACCACTCCAAATCACCCGCACGGTGGCGCTGCGCCCGGCTACACGAACGCCACGTCACAGCGGGATCGCGAAATAGATCGGGAACGACGAGAACACCGCGAAAGGGAACGGGACTTTGAGCGACGTGAACGTGATAGGGAGCAGCGGGAAAGGGACTCATTAAAACGTGTTTCACCGTCGACGGCATCGTTCAGCGACTCCGGTGCGGGAGTTGATTCAAAGCGAATGCGGCTCAACAACGCCTACGGAGGCAGTGGTAGTCAATCGAAGAAATCACCGCCAATCTCACCGCCTCTAGCGCCGCCGTCCTCGAGGAGCGCACCGTGGGTTACCATGGGCTCAACGGGTTCCAGCTATTGCCAATCTAGCCCAGAATGTGTATCACCAAGCTCCCAGGTTGGTTTTGGCTTTTGTTGCTTGCTTTCGACTTTGTGGTGATCTTGCTCTATTACGGAATCGTCGTTTTTTTTAATGATAGATTCGAGCGGCACCGTAATGCCGCTGAATGAAGAGGTTCGTAAACTGCTTACAACCATTTTTTTTTATTTGAAAAAGCATTCTCATACACCTTTCGAAGTATTTACTACATTAAGCGATAATGTAGAGAATAAGCGTAACACCATTTCTTTACTATGGGGATGGCGGTGGCGGCGAAAACAGGACTACAAGTCTACTGGTAGCTCTCCATCGGGCGACGTGCCGGAGTACGTGGCACGTTACGTCGAAATTACAAACCAGGAGCAGCGGTTCCGTTACAAGTGTGACTTTGCAGCTGAATATCCTCGATACCGACAACTCCACCAGTTGTTGGATCAGGTGTCTCACAAGTTCGTGGAACTTGAGAGCACCCTCCGCAAGTGCAACTATGGATCCGAGGACTTCAGGGTAAGTTTTGTATTAGCGAGAAAGGATTCTCATGCGATTGCTAGTCACTGTAACAGAAAAACCCATTAGATAATTGCGTGTCACTTTTTAATCACATTTGTGTATTTATTAATTCAAAACAATCATTTGGTAGCAACCTAATACGATGTAACATTCACGATACGTACGGCTGTATGTTACAATAGAGTGACAGTGGTGCCAAACGACAGTTTGAAACTACACTAACACTATGTATTTTCTGTTGTTTCTTTTTGATCGCTCGCTCCGATTTTTCTTGGGTGTGAATTTCAGCGAGTCGCAAACGAGATTATGGCGGAATACCGGAAAAGCAAAAACGACCAAGAGTACCAAAATGCCAAGAAAAATTTCCAGTACCTCCACGATAAACTGGGCCATATTAAGCAACTTGTGGCCGATTTCGACCGCGTGCATTCGTAGCAGCCTCCCACCTAGAACTAAGTCATCTCTAAACGCAACTACAACCATAACTGAAATGAATACATCTATAGCTCTACGTTAGCTATCGAATCATATCGAGTCGAATGCCCAGGTCTGTCGGTGACGATCGTCGGTTGACCCATAGAAACAGCCTCCGTCAGTAGCAACCCATCGAGAGCAGAAGTTTGATTGTGTCTTAATTGTGCAACCCCTTTGATCTGGCGAGAAGTTTGTATCTGTTCGAAATAAACAAATGCACGGTCGCTGACGCAAGTTCATGCCTTCGTGCATACGTTTGGTGGCAAATCTTGTGATGACGTGTAGTGATCGATTACGCGCCGGAAAGAAGGGAAGGAAAAGCAGAAAATAAAAAAAATTGCCTAAATATTGCCGACGACGGAGAAGGAATGCGCTTGACAATGAGGACGCTGACGGTGAAGATGAAGTCGGAATGAATTCCCAGCTGCTACATGCTGGATGTCATCTTTTGATGATTATGGTTATAATGATTTTGGTTACTAGGACGATTACGCTAACGGGATTGGAGTAAAGACAGATCACAGCTGTTACCGCCTCCATATCTCAATTGCAACCAACACTGATTCGAGAAGAAGCCACCCTCTGACCGATTGAACTACGTGTATACATAAATGTTGATGATTGTGATGCCGATAATGCTGATGACACAGAAATAGAAAGTGCGCGAGAAACAAAATAGATGAATAATTACTACTCGTATTTGGCGTGCACGGACGTCGGCCTCAAACCGCGCCAATCCGTCTCCATAGGGAAAATGAACATCAAGCAGAGTTAGCAGAAGGCAGCGGTTCTGCAGCTTAACAACAACAACAACAACAACAACAACAGGAGTCGCAGAGACCCTTATGTCAGTGAACCACATTAACCTTGATGAGGATTACGATAGATTTTGTTAATGATTATGCTTGTAATGATGATGTTGATGACTGAGAAGCTCTCTTTACATAAACAATACATAATATCAACTTCAAAAATACACACAGATAAACGTGAGACAGCAAGAGTGAGAGAATAGCAGAGAGAGAAAGAGGGAGAACGAGAGAGAGAACAACAATGAACGAAGAATGTAGATAAAACTACTATCTACCGTCGTGCTCTAACGGGATGCCTTTACGGCCGACAAAACTCGGAAAACTACACCTAACGACAGAGCAGACCGGGAAAATCTGCCGACTCACAATTTGGAGCTTAGAGATTCTAACAACAACAACAACAACAACGACAATCTGCAATCACGACATCAGTGGAGACGAGGAACTGCAAACAAGACCGGCAAGCCAGGACCCACAAACCGGGCATCAAGTGAACGCAATTTGTAAAGATCGCCCACAAAAATGTTCGATAACTCTATAGAACTAATTCTACTGGTACCGTTTGGGAAGAAGGTGTTACCATTGTCTACTTCATTGTTGAACATGTATTCCTTAGAATTACAGCTGATAGCATGGACCGCTACCCAGTGGATTTTTGGGGTCTCGTCGAAAGAAACAAACAACACTGTTTTGATCACACTTTGATCGTATATATTAAATTAATTCATTCAGTAATTAATCTAAAAATGTCATAAACAATAGCTTCAACAAGAATTGTATTACTGTTATGAGTTTTTCTGTTTATTTACGGCCTTTTTGTCCTCTTGGTCTTACCCCTTCTTTATGGCGTTGTTAACTCGTCCGCTTTCTGAATCCGTCAAAATTCTCATGACTAATAGATGTTATCGGTTCTGGATAAACGTTCACTAAGCCAAAAGCGAGCAGTTCCGCTCCTTTTGCGCGTAGTGCCAAAACTACTTGATCTTTTTGAGAAAAGCCAATCCCAAGCGAAAGATCGTCGTCCTTTTCGGATTTCACCCGCTTCCGGTATAAGCATATGAGATATCGGAATGAGCCTATCTAATGGGCAATCGTAGCGGGTAAATTCAAATGACAACGTGAAGTACATACGGTAGGACAGATCACAGCACTCGAAGTTATACATCAGTCACAACGTACAAACATAATAAATCGGTAAGAGACAAGTCCATCTACATACAAAAAAGTGCTTTCTGAGATTCCGTCATCTTTTTGTGAATGCTGGGAAGAAAGCAAATCGAAGAAAGGAACAGTAGACTACGCTGGTCCTGGTCGTTTGAAAGCCTCAACAGGAGACACTTGAAGCTGTTGTGTACAGTGTGGCATATGCTCGCCAAATCGCTGGGTGACTAGCCGCCGCCGCCGCCGCCGGCGCCCTGAAAGACGTGAATTCTGTAGTCGCGACAAAATCATGCGACATAGTTATTGCACTTGGGAATGGATTAGTTGCAGAGTTCCAGAATTAAAATGGAATCGAGGGAGAAACAGCTGTCACGTGCCATTCAACAATAGGAAAAGCACCGCTTCGCAGAAACCACCTGCTGTAATACGGCCGACATAAAATATCTATCTAAGGCCAATAAAAACAATTAGTAATCTCTATCGGTGAAGGATGCCGTTTTGCTAATTAATACTCGATCATTGGGTGGTAGTCACAGAGAAACTACGAATTTCCTACAACGACGCTCAGGCATGGTAGAAGTTTGAAGCTATTTCACCCAGTATCGTTACCATGGCTATTGCTGAGTAGATTCGTATTGACAAAGTCAGCTCTGGCCGCAACATCCGAATATTGAACGGTGCGATGGATAAGTGCCGGTGTTACCGTTTCGATCTGACGGCAGTGTTCGTGCTTTCAGTTAAATCGTCTGGTCGTAGTAAGCTTAACGTCAACTCCTGAGCTCCAGACGTTTTATTAGGTGCGTACGCGTCCGCTCTTTTTCTCGCCATTCCAATCTCGCTCTTTCTGTGTCGTTCGGACGTGTTGTCGTTGACGCGGGTGTGAAAAACAGAAAAGGTCAGAAACTTCATTCCATAAGTCGGGGGGAGGTATTCCATAAGGGGGGGGGGGGTACAAAGTGTTCGCGTTGAAGTGTTCACCAACCTTCACGAACATCACACCATGGCACTGTTTCTGCCGAAATCGACCGTCCTTGTGAAGAGTAATGGGGCTGTCTGGCCTATTAGCAGCTTCTCCGGCGGCGAAGTTCTGTCCGAAAGTAGTCTAGCCACTAATGGCGATGCCAATGAGAGGAACACTGAGAAGAGTAGCTGTGGATTTGTGTAATATTAACTCTGTATAATTACTTTTACCGTAGAGATGAAATAAAGGGGAAAAGAGACAAGTAACCACAAAGAGCTCTAATATTATAGAGGAGAATTAGGTGACGATGATCAAGTGCTTCTGCTGCTGGCAATTACGACAACAGCGCATGACAGAAGCAGATAGGTGATTGTATATATGTATAT